TTTCTTGTCTTCAAACAAAAAGAAAAAATTAAGATTGCATCAGAGGTATGTGGGGTGAAAGTAAAAAGGGACTAAAAAAAAAATCAAGTTTAGGGATGAGTACCCCAGCTTCTTTGACTAAAAAGTCTAATAAGCAGAATTTTACAAACCTGATGGTCACCAGCCCATGTATTTACTCAACAATTGTTTCTTGAGCACCTAGTATGTGGCCGATACTCGAGATACAGCGGTAAAACAGACGGGCCATTGCTGTCACCGAGCTTACGCCCCAGGGAGCCAATATGAAGAGTTTGGCACAGCTGTACTCATATAGGGCACATAAAGGACTTGAAACTCAAGATCCAGAAGTGCATGGCAGCCCTGAATGTCTTGCCAGGAAGGTTGGGCATTATCCTACAGGCAATAGGGAGTCCTTGAATTATTTTGAACAAAAAGTGACCCAATCAGCGCCATGTTTTAGGCAAGTACTTTGGAGGGTGAGCTCAAAGAAATTGAGACAGGGGCCGGGGCCAGAGGATGAGGAAGAGAGGAAATCAGAGGTAGGGAAGCCGGACAGGAGAAACAACAGCAAAAATGCAGATAGGGAAGCCCCAAAGGGCATCAACTGGTAGAAACAGGATGTGAAAAAGGCTAAAGATCACCTTAATTCTTTTGATTTATTTATTGCTATTTCATTTTGATCTCTCACTAGCAAAGCTGAGCAATTGGCTGCCCCTGGTAGTCACCCCCTCACCACCACAGACTTAAAGGTGGCTTTTAAGTCTCACACTCAGCCCGTGCCTTTCCTCAAAATCTCATGGATTTGTGCTCTCTCTCCAGACCAACACTGCCCAATAGAACTTTCTGTGACAATGGAAATGTTCCATCAATCTGCGCTGCCCAATACCAGTAGCCACCAACTGCGTGTGGCTATTGAGCNGCACCAGCCTGTAAATTCATTTCATTTGGGGTCATGGAGAAAGCTTTTTTCTCAAATGAATAAGTCAAATAGCTATATTAAATCTTGAGTGTTTTCTCACTCATTAGGTAAATCAGGAAAAGAGGTGAAGTGACAGAAGGGGTTTTGTTATGAGGCATCAGACACTGTGGGATTCATGGGGAGGAAACAAACTCATCTTTGGGACAGGCACCCGGCTAAAAGTGGAACTGAGTAAGTGTGAGATTCTATGATGACTACAAAATGCATTCTGGTGACGGTGAATGGGAGAAAAGGAATGTCATGTCTCTTATTTATAATTAACTATAATGTAGCGTTGAAGTATTAAGAATTGTGGCACCCAGATAAATTAGTGAAAGTACTCAAAGACTAAAGGAGTGTATTTTCTTTGGGGTGGGAATTTAGCAAACCATTAAGATTTTCCCCAAGATATGAGGCTGATAGAGCTCTGTCTAATATTAGAGTTTTTAGCACTAGAATTGAGCTAAATGGAGCCTGATAAAAGAAAAAAGCTAGAGGAGCAGAAAATTGCCTGGCCATGATCTAATAGACCCTTTCTTCTTCCACTGCCATTGATCCAGATACATTGTGAAGAAGATATTCAAGGTCATTTTATCCATGCGCCAAATAAGCCATACCCAGTTCACTTTAGAGACAGTGTCCCTTTACACTAAACATTGTTCAAGAAGAGTCAGTGAAGTGCAGAGAAAGGAGCCCAGGGCTTCTGGTTTCAGTCTAGTTCTAGATTTAATTTGGCCCCAACTGACAGTGTGACATTGAACAAGTCATTGCCTCTGGGTGTGCCTCATACTCTTCTGGTGTGAGAGAAGCTCGCAAAAATCAAAAAGCTCAAAATCTGTGGCTCTGGGATCTCACTCCTTATACCACCTTAGAGTTTATATGACTCAAGGGTATGGACTATTATGGCTATTTCATAAACAAATTCTATAACCCCAAAGAAATAACCTTGCTGATCAATAATATAACTTAACATAGAAATAATAACCACCTTCTCAGTGCCTATGATGTGTGAGTACGACTCTAGGTGCATGACATATGGTATTGTTTGTCTTCAAACAACTTTATGGGCAGGAAACAGTATCCCTATTTTACAGAAGAGGAAACTGAGGCTCGGAGAATTGTCCAAGATCCCAGGAGTAAGTGAGTGGCAGAGTCTTGATTCAAACCAGGGTCTGCCTGCCCGCTCCCAAAGCCTTGCTCTTTCTACTACATTGATGTCACAGGCCCTGTGCCAGGGTTTATTTAGAAATAAGAGACTCTGCCAACCACGGTGAGCAAGGAAAACATGGAGTTTATATTTGTATTGCCAGATATTACCATGGCTTAGAGATGGAGCTTTGGACAATCTTGACTTGAATGTCTCAAATGTCCAAAAGATTCTCTTCCCCATGAATGAAGAAACAAAAAAATTCGATGGCTACTGGAATCATTTACCCCAATGGAGAGAGGAGCTGGCAACAGCCACCCCCTTGTTCTGACTTTCCCTTCCCCTCACTATTTCTTGTATTGTCATCAGTGTAACTGATCTACAAGTGCCTGACTCATTTGCGAGTTATAGAAAAATGCAATGTTGAGGGAGGGCTCTTTGGACATTGTTGGANGCTCACGCTGGCTGCTGGCTGCACATGGTAGCCCATGGCAACACACTGCCACAGGGGCTGCAGCCTACACCGTCACCGGCGACTCAGGGCAGCCCAGCTCCAGGTTGAGCTGTTGTCCAGCATCTTAGCTGTAGAGGGCAGTGTCACTGGCCCTCATATGTGGGATCCAAACTGGGGCCCTCTGGCATCCCAAGCCAGTTCTTAACCATCGCGCCACTCGGCCGGCCCGAAGTTTTAATTTTTAACTGGCTTTTAAATTTATTTAATTTTGTTTAGCTTTAATTTAAATAGCTACATATAAAGACTGTCATATGGGACAACATAGTCTTGACCTTCTCCAACCTGACACCCACTGGCTGTAGGACTTAAGTAAGTGTTTAACCAGGACTCAGAGTTGGGCATCTGGCCCCACAGTCACCTCCTCTCCCAGCTAAGGTCAAACTGTATCTGGTGGTACCCTGTCCTCTGCCTTCTTTTTGAGGCCACATTCTCTCAGCATCTCTACACCCTTCCATGGCCCACCCACGACTCCCACTGATGACTAACAAATGCATTGGAGTATGTGGGTGGTACTAATGGCTTCCCATCTCTCCCCTTCCAGTAAAAGATTTATGTCATAGGGCCTTAACCTACGGTGATGCCAGCAACCCCGCACCCCTACCCTCCCATTTCCCCTTATCCCCCCCCTCCCAGGTATATGGAGGAGCAGACAGAATCTTTTGGGGCCAGAGCTTTGTATGCCCCTCACATGTGACCATGGACCCACCCCTGCTCTGCTGCTCCAGGGGCAGCCCCACCCGCAGGCGGCTCTGCCTTGACTCAGCATCCCAAGGTCATGCCAAGAGCAGATTTCCCAGGTTTCAGGTCCAGCTGGATGTCTGCATTGCCAAGGCCACTCTGGCTGGCTCAGCAAATGGGGTACATCACTAGTCTGAGCAGCCTTGTATGCATGGTGAGGAGCTGTGGGAGCCGAGAACCGCGGGGACAGGAAGCTCTAGTCCCAACCCTGCTGTAAACTCTCTGGGTGGCCCCAAAGTGCTAATCCTCTCTGCAAACCTCTGCTTCCTCCTCTAAAGGCAGGAGGTCTGAAAGAATAAACACTGAGAGTCGCATTAAAAACACAAAATCCTACGGAAATACTGAAACATGATTCTCAGCTCTGAGGAAAAGGCTTCAGCAACTCCTGATTCCTGGGGGTGAAGAGTAGGAACTGACTATGTATTAGTAGCACATTATCATAGCAATATCCTGGTAATATCAACAGCTGCAATTACTTAAATTTGTTCAATGCTTTACAGTTTATTAAATATAATTTTTTTAAAGATTTTTATTGGGGAATTGGGGGGATGGGAACAGACAAGTTGTTGTCATTTTGTTCTTCAGTCTAGTTGTGGAGGACGTTGCTTCACTGGCCCAAGTTGGCACCATCATTGCGCTCTTCCCGGGCGAGGCAGATCAGTCGCCAGCTTCTGGACGACCACTCATGGCAGCTGCTGGCCGCTCACACTGGCTGCTGGCTACACACGGTAGCCCATGGCAACCCACTGTAGCAGGGGCTGCAGCCTACGCCATCGTTGGCGACTCACAGCAGCCCAGCTCCAGGTTGAGCTATTGTTCAGCATCTCAGCTGTAGAAGGCAGTGTCACTGGCCCTCCTATATGGGATCCGAACCGGGGCCCTCTGGTGTCCCAACCCAGTTCTTAACCATTGCACCACTTGGCCGGTCCATTAAATATAATTTTATATGGAGAAACTCTCATTTGTTTCTCAGAAAAGCCTGGTTAAGAAGGTGAACAAGGCAACAGCTTCCTGTTACAGATGAAATTCCTGAAATTTAAGTGGTGGTATGACTTGCTCAAGGCCTTGCATCTAGTAAATGGTAGAGCCAGGACTCAGACACAGGTGTTTTGCTTTATAGTCTAAAACTTTTATAGATGAGAGAAATCTCCCAGTGATGTGACCCATCTTCCGACTTAAGTCCAGCCTATCATAAACCTCCAGTTCCTACCAATGCCTAAGTGTGGGAGACCACCCCAGATTCCAAGACGTACGGTGTGCTTGCTTTGTCCTGCCAGAGCTATGGTATTGTTTACTAGGCCTGCTGAGCTTTTGAAGAAGTTCCCATTAAGTAGAGGAATGAGCAGTGTCATTAAATAGGCCTTCATTTCTGGTTTCCTTGAATGGCAGGCAGAGCCTGGCAGAGAGCGTTCCCTGACAGCCTGGCCTCTTGGCCAAGACTCATGGCTTGTGCGTGTCTCTGAATCCCAATCTGTTGTGAGCAGCTGGTTTCTAGAATGTTCTTTGCCATCTAAAGCCTGAGGATGTGACTTGCCAGCCCCGTGGAGCCCTGCTCTTGCCCGTTACTAGCATCTGGACTGAGGCTTGGGTTGGGGCAAAGAAGGAAATGAACATCTCCTAACCCGGGTCCTTTTGGCCAACAGACATCCAGAATCCTGACCCTGCCATATACCAGCTGAGAAGCCCTAAATCCAACGACCCTCCCATCTGCCTATTCACCGATTTTGATTCTACAATCAATGTGTCAAGTATCACGAACTCCACAGAGTTCAGCTCGAAAAATACGGTGCTGGACATGAGATACACGGGTTCCAAGAGCTACGGGGCCCTGTTCCGGAACAACGACGCTGATTCAGAATGCGAAGTCGCCTCTGACCAGGTGGTCTACTACCCCAACTTAGGTGAGTGCAGTGTTGGTGCCTGTGCAAGCTAAGGGTCCTCACTTTGAGAGGCCTGGTTGTGTCAGAGCTCAAGCCAATGGTATCTAAAGCCACTATTCTGATTGGTGGTCTCGGCTCGTCAATTGTCAGCAAAGCCCCCTACCCTCTTGTTACTGAGCACCAATGAGCCCCACCCTAGCAGGCCATAGAATGCCCTGAGCAAAGAGCAGATGGGGAGAAGGTGGCAGGAGAGGGCACTTGCCCTCAGTCTCACCCACCCTGAGTTCCCTCCTCCCTGCCTCTGCCTGAGCTTTTTGCCCCTTACTCCTCTTCCAGGCCCCATTCTAATGCCCTTCTCCAAGATTCCTCCCCTTGTTTCTTTCTCTTTGCCAAAGATCTTTCCCAGCTCCTGACCTCACTCAGTCATTCATCCATTCAACAAGCTACTGACTGTGCACATACAACATGCCAGGTGCTGGAGTGGAGGAGGAAACAAGCCAGATGAGGGGTCTGCCCTGAGGAAACTCGATTGTAGTTGGGGGAGATCATCCATCAGCAAGAGGAAACCTAGATAACTTCAGATTATAATATATGCGTTCACTTGGAGTTGAGGAAACAGCTACCTTAGGGACAAAAGTCAGAAAAGGGCTCTCTGAGGAAATGCTATTTGAGCTGAGATATAAAGGATGAGAAGGTACCAGCAGAGAAAGGACCCTATGGAGGACTAATACAGGAGCTTAGTGAGAAGGGAAGAGCGGGAGGAAATGAGATGGAAGAAGTACAAGGGCCAGATCATAGGGCCCCAGAGGTCATGAGAGGGCAGATATTATTCTAATTACAATGAAAAGCTACGGTCTGGCTTTAAAGCAGGGAAATAGCATCGGATTTACTTCTTTAAAAGAGCACTCTGCTGAGTGGAAAATGGATTGTATGCGCCAGAAAGGAAGCTATTGCAGCAGAGAGATGATGGTGGCTGGGACGGGGTGGCGGCAGGCTAGTTGAGTGGCCAACACTGTTTGGGATTCAAAGGTAGAGCCATAAAGGTATGAGAAGAAAAGGAGGGGATCAGGAAGGTGGCTGCGTTTTGTACCTGAGCAGCTGAGTCAATGCTAGTGCCATTTACTGAGATGGAGAAAACAAAGGAACAAATTTGGGGTGCAGGGATTGAAACTTTGTGGAACACATGGAAGTTTCTAAACCCCTTATGGCACTTGTCACTGTGTATGTCTTATTGCCTCAATCGGATTCCAACCTCTTTATGGCCTTGTGTCGTGTAACATGGACTTTGCACAACCAGTGTTTGTTAAGTGGATGAAATGGTGCCCAGAAGCCAGGACGTTGGTCCTGTCAGAGCCAGTGGCTTTCCCTAGCAGGTGCCCATATGCGATAATTTCCCCCCAGATCTCTCCACGAGGAAGCGTGGAAAGGCTGTAGATAGTCCCTTGCCCAACTCTTAAGAGGTCTAGGGTGGGAGAGTCAGCATGCTCTGGACTCTAAGAAAATTTCTTTGTTTCTCCTTTTAGGAATCCCCTGTGATGCCAAGTTGGTAGAGAAAAGCTTTGAAACAGGTAAGAGTGGAGTCTATCCCAGCTTTGCTCACGTTTGGGATGGCAATGAACCCACAAGAACCCTGACTGGGTAGGGGAGGTGGGGAAGAATTTGTGGACCTAGGAATGAAGTTATGAGGAACAGGAACAGCAGTTCAAGCCCCACTCAGAGCCTCCTGGGGTCATTCTGGAATCCCCAGGCTCCTCTCACCATCTTTTCCATTCTGAACATTTTGAGGATGAGTTTCTAGTTTTACTCGACCAATGACTCACACCTAGGCCTCTGTATTCCTTTCAATCACTCCACTGTCAGGAGAGCCAACAAGAGCTTCCAGGTGGCTCAGCTGTGAAATTTCTGACGGGCTTATGTACGACCCTAAATTAACCCAATCATCCTGGGGACATCTGCCCTCCATAACCAGGGGGTTTTGCCTTTTTTCAAGAAAAGCAGCAGAGCTCATGTAGGTAGTGATATTGTCTGTAACAGACCCCCACCACTCCTCACCACCTACCCTGGGCCCATATTCATTTCCATTTGAGATGTTTTATGAGCCATCCCTCCTGTGGTTCAGCCACTGGGTCCTCACTAAGGGGCCCAGACCCAAGAGATTGCAATAAGTTCTCAGCACCCACCTCATCCTCCTGCCCTGAGGGACTCAGAAATAAAATGAGAACTAAGTGCAGTTGGTGTTTTCCTTTTGAAAGAAATACTGTTGACCCTGAGCAATGCACAAATATGTTTACGGGGGGGATGTGCACAGAAGCTCAAAGGGAGAGGTGGAGCCAGAAGCTGAAGCCCACCCCACCAGCCCCACCCCACTTTCAGGAAAGCCATTGGTATGTCATAGGGTACCGTGCAGACCTCGGGTGTACGTGCTTATAACCGTTGTGGCCTCTTGCTTTTGCAGACATGAACCTAAACCTCAAAAACGTGTTAGTGATTGTGTTCCGCATCCTCCTCCTGAAAATGGCCGGGTTTAACCTGCTCATGACGCTGCGGCTGTGGTCCAGCTGAGGTGAGCGGGCATCTCAGCTGGGAGGTGGGGTATGAGGGTCTTAGAGTGAGTCCCCAAGCTCTGAAAGCAAACTTTCTGTCCACCCCCAGAGTCTTCTTTTTAGATCCCAAGTCTGAGCTCACCAAACTCCTCAATTTTCTACCTGTTAGGAGTTCCTCTTGTTAATAACAAAGGCCTGGAACGTTTGCATAACACAATACACTCCTCAGATAATAAGAGTCACCTCAGTTGAGTCATGTGTCTCCTGCAGAGTATGAAGAACAGTTGTTATTATCCTCATTTTGGAAATGAAGAAACTGAGGCCAAGTAATGTCAAGAGCCACACATTGAGTGGAATAGAGAAACTCAGGACCCCGACACTCATTCACACCTTCTATTGTATCCCTTTCACTGCAAAACCTAATGGGGCTCCCGATTCCTTTCCTCATGTCCTCTGCCTCCAATACAGTGAGAAGACATTATGTTCATATTACACCCTAATCCTGGCTAGAGTCCCCACACCCTTTCCCCGCAGTGTCCCTGGTCATCCTGCTGACAAGTGCATACCATCCCACCACATCAAAAAGAACTCCAGGGTCCATTTGCTCCCAGAGCTCCACAAGTAGAGGCATCTCCCACGTCCCTAACTGTCCTGGGTGTCTCCCCAGAATCCAGACTGACTTCTGTTCTTTCTCTTCCCAGGTCGCCAAGAATGTGAGCCCGGTGCTCCTACTCCTCACTGCCCTCCTCGCCCTCTTCAAGCAGAGAGGCACTCTCAGCCTCCATGGAAAAAGTCCCCTCTGCCTCTCTGCAATGCCACCAACTCCACCAACTCACAATTATCCTACCAGATAATTGTGACCAAGATGCTGAAGAGCTGCCAAACATTGCTGCCACCCCTTCTGTTCCCTCATTGCTGCTTGTCACTGCCTGGTGTTCCCGGCAAAGGCAGGGGCTGTGGCTGCCTCTCCTGGCTGTGGAGACACCCCCTACCCCTCCCAGAGACTGCCTCTGATGTCCCACTGGGCGATGGGTCCCCAGGGCGTTTTCTCAGGCTCTGGCTCCTGGAGAATCTTGTGAGGAGCTTATATTTTTAAATAATGTTCATAAAGAGATACATATTACCCTTTTCCCCAAAATGTGGGGAAATTATCTCCTTATCAGGCCCCGCTATGCTGTGTATCTGAGCCACATTGTGTATTCTGCTGCCATGGCTTCATTAAAAGTGATTTAAAAGAGCAGAGACTGTGCTCCTGTTTGACTGGGTTTGGTCGGGGTCATTTCCAGCGTGCTGTTGATCACTAGCTGGGCAGAAAGAAACCAAGGCATCTGTCCATGATGACATTCAGGGAGCTTAACTCAACAAGCTGCTTAAGTCAACCTCTTCCTGGAATCACTTCTAAAATATTCCACTAAGAAGGCTGTGCTAGGGGCCAGGCAAACCCACTTAAAAGCTTGGGTCCCTGCTCTTCCGTTTTCATGCCACACTGCTGGGCCACTCATGGCAGGAGGCCCATGTACATGGGTGGTAGTGACCTGTAGCTGACATCTGGCAGACAGGGACCACACAGCAAGTGTCCCCCAAATGCCACCCACTGTGTCTTACCCCCAGGACCACTTTCTTTGTCTTCCTTTTCAAACTGGATTCCCATTGAAACTGTGCATTGCCCTACAAATTCATGGCTGGGGAATACCCACTGCATCCCAACCCAATGCCTAGCTCCTTGGGGTGCCCAGTCTAGGAGTGGGGGAGGGGAGGAGATTGTAACCCTAGCCAGACTTTACATTCCCATCATCCTGATGTGAAGATGAGTGAAGCAGGGATGAGCCCGCTCCCCTCAAGCCCAGGAACTGGCCAAAGAGAACAGATGTCTCAAGCCCTCACCTGGAGGATAAGAGGTGGGATTCCCTGGGGTCCCGGGAGTCTCCTGAGCCTTCTGCGGCCTGATCACCTTTCCTGGGGTCATGGATGCTGATGGGAACGCCCCTCAGAGACCACTCAGCCATCTAACTCATGATTACTACTATCAAGACTAAAGCCCAGTGCTTACCAATGCCCAGGGGTGGGAGGGCATCCTATCTCCAAATACCTGCATGGTTCACCCGTGTGTCTCCGACCACATCAACCAGAAGCATGCAAATCCTTCCAGCTACAATTCAGGCCTGCTTCTTTTCACAAAGACCACCAGCTCAGTAGGTGACCTAGGCATGTCCCTCCCCTCCATAAGCGCCAAGGTCACCACCTATAAAATGTCAGTTGAGACAGGAGGCTGCCCCCAGCTCCACGCATCTCTGATTCAGTGGCCTCTCAGAACTCAGACCACCGTCCATGTCCTGGCCAGCCCTACTGAGAGTAGTCACAGGATATCTGTGCCACCTCATATGTAGCCTAAAAACAAGTCCCTGTAAAGATCACTAATAGGAAAGGTCTCAAAGGAAATCCCATCACGGCGGCTCACTCTCACACATAGGAGGACAGAAGCCTCCTTCCCAAAAGCAGGACCTGCCACCTGCGGGGAACACAAAACTGCCTCATCATTCTGACACAACGCCAGATGCCACCATTGGGAATTTCTTTTAATTAAATTCTCTTTCCCATATTAAATGAAAATGCCCCTGAGAGGGTTAATAGGGCAGGCATTTATCAACCATTAAAAACTTAGGGCAAATTAGTTTGTCTTTCTTTCCTCCTAAAGTGGTAATTCACGTTGGTCTATAAACAGAAGATCCAGGCAAGGGACACGTGGGTGGCCAGGGAGGCAGGTCTGCTCCTGAGACTTGGTTGCAAAGATACAGAGGCTGAAGGGGACCCAGAGGCTTGGGGCAGGGACCCTGGAAGGCAGTGAAGGGGCCAAAGACAGACCCCTCCAAGAACCCTGGAGGAAGCTCAGACTGAAGGAGGCCGAGGGAGTCTGTGGAGTGGTGCCAACCAGGGCCCTCAGAAGGCAAGGCCCCATAGTCACTGGACCCCTAAGGCCACCCGAGAACCTATGACATGATGTGGCAGCAGTTGGGGATCCACCCAGAATCATGGAGGGCCTCCTCCTTCCATGTCCAGCCCAAGTGAAGGGTGACAAGGCCTCAGGCAAGTAGACATCAGGGTCAGCATGGCCCCTGAGGAGTTTCCATCTCAAACCAGGGGTTCCTCAATCCCACCAAAAACCTTCCCTCAAGTCTGAGGCTGTGAAGCCTCAATCCAATTAGGGCCAAGTCAGAGGACAGACCAGGGGCAGGTGGGTGTGCTGATGGGGTGGTGCAGGGACTCCACTCAACCTTGTCCACTCTGCTCTCATGTCTGGCCCCAGACCCCATGAAGAATGTCAAGGGGAAGTAAAGTGGCCTTGTGAGGAGGCCCAGGGGAAGGGTTCCTATGCCCACTAGGAGGGTCTGCACTGGGCCTCGGGCCACTGCAGCAGAGTCCCTCAGTGCAATAAGGGACCAGGCATTATTCAGCCTGGGAGGAACAGGTCACCAAGGAAACCTGAAGACATTAGTCATCATGTCCATATGGAGGCCCAGCCCTGAAGATCCTGAGTCCCTGTGAACAGAGACCAGCTTCAAGGAGGAAAGGCTGCCGTCCCAGCAGGAAACGAGTCACCAAAGCCAGATGATTTCTCTGGACAGAAGCACAACTGCCCCAAAAGACTTAAGTTCAGGCCAGCCCTGCAGGCAGAAGAATGGGCCAAATTACTTCTTATGACCCTAGGCCTAAGATTCTAGAATATTTTCTGACACTTCACCCAGAGACCTGCCCTCTGAGTACCACTGGAATCCCAATCTAATCAAGACAAGGGCAGGCTATGCAAGTATGTGCTTCAGGAATACCTGAGTGGGGTCTTCAGCTCCAAAAGAGTAACCCCTTTGCCGTGACCCACCCTTAGAGAGGCAGCCTTCTGAGTCTTGAAGGATTATTTATCTTCTTGGTTTGCCAATAAAATTCAACTTCCCTGGAGTTACCTGTAAAGCCCTTAACAGGTATCACCTTGGTTATCACGTAATATCTTGGCAAGAAATTCCACTAGACTATGCGTTCCTTGGGGTGAGAAATGCGCCTTGTTCATCCACGTGTCTACAACACCTAGCGCAGTGCCTGGCATACAACAGATGCTAAATGTACACTTAACCAGCAAAAGAATGAAAAACTGATTAGTGTGATTGGGCACTGGGGAGGGAGCCAAGTTGGGGATGTGGAGCATAAAAAAAGGGATTAACAGAGGAGGTGGTCTGGTATCCCTCTATGTCACAGTTTTGCCAAGAGCTAAAGGTAACTTGTCAAGAATTATCAGGAAAAGTAAAGCCTGAATGATGGTCCCTTGGCCAGGGCAGCCCCCACACAGGCACTCAGGGCACACAGGGCAGCCCCCACACAATACAGCCTGGAGGACGGTTGCTCTGGGCAAGTACACAGGGCATCCAGGAGTCAGCGGTCCATCACCGGTGGGACCATGCCAAGGTCCAGGGCTGATAGATCATTACCATTCCACCTCTGGTTCTCCACATCCTATTTTAAAACCCCTCCTCCAATCTACCTCCTGGAGCAATGTGTGGGAAGAAGAGCTTCTGACTAAAGGGTGGGCCTGGGGGCAGCCAGCCACCTGGAGACCCACCTGCAGTCACTCTGTTAATAACTACACTGATTGGTGAGGCCCCCACAGGACCATTAGGGTCCTGCCTCTGTGTAAGGCCACCTGATTTACAGGCCTCATTTCACCCAAACACATGTGTAAGCTCTCCTCAGAGTGTCACATGTAGAGCTACATTTGGAAATTAATAAACAGGTCAGACATTGAGTCAGTAGCCAGAAGTAGGACAGGAAGTGGAAAAAGTCCCACTTCCCTCCAGGTGTTTGGGGCCTTAGGATGGCCCCTCCCATTTCCATGACGTCATGGCTGCGGAGAGAGGCAAATAGGGCACCCTTTGAAGCTTTCCCGCAGAAGCCACATCCTCTGGAAAGAAGAGTTAAAAATACTGAGTGAGAGATACCATCACCGTAGGCCACGTGCCGGAGCCAGGCAGGCTGGGCCGTTACACCGCCAACCGCAGGTGCGACAGGAAGGCCGCCAAGCTGGGAGGGGCTGACTGGCAGCCCCACCCAGCAGCTGGCTGGGAGGTGCTGCACACCCCATTGCAGAGGCCTCCCCCGCCCCACCGCTGAACTCCCCACCCCCCTCGGACCAAGCCCTAAGATCAAACCTTGGTCTCAATTAAACTTTTGCTTAACACAGGACAGACCCTCAAAGCTTATGTCCAGCCCCCCTTTCCCTAGAAGGTGTGAGGGCCACCACATCTGCCCACAAACACAGCTGGGGCTGGATCTCCGAGAAAGGCCCCTACTCCGGGCAAGGCTGGAGTGCTGGATGATGGCCCTGACGGACTTCTGCTTGTCAGAGATCCGAAGACCAAGATTCAGGACACCAGGAGGCAAGGGACCTAAAAGCTGAGACCAGCACCCGACACCCGCAAAACGCTGGACTTGGACATCCTGCTCTGTGGTAGTGTCCTCAGCCATCCACCTGGAGGCAGCAGCGCTCCACCAAAGAGGAGCAGTCTGTTCATTCTGGAGATGGAAAGACCCCAAAGTTTAGGAAATTCTCTTTTCTGAGGAAAATAAAAGGGCAGATGACTTTTATTCAGCGAGTCCCTGCCCTTTGCCAATCGCTGCACTGGGCTCCCGGCTTGGCTCGTGTGATCCTATCATATCCCATGGAGGAGAGAGGGTCTGGGTCAGGCCCCACAGGCAGCAGGGGGCACTACCTGCCTGGGATCATCAGGCTTGCTTTGACACAGCACTAGAAGGGAGCCCTGGGGGAGGGACTGGGGGAGCTTGACTACCTGGGGGGGCAGTCAGCATCGGGGAGCCTGGGCTGGGGTTCAGGATCTACCACTTCCTGGCCTTGTGCCCTGAGCAGGTCACTAACCGCTCACAGCCCGTTTCCCAGAGGGGTCAGTGCTCTCATAGGGTAGTTTAAGAACTAAGGCTTTCTTTCATATTACATACCTGTCACATGCCAGACACCATGCCAGGTTCTGGGGATGCAGTCTCTGTACAAACTGTATTAACTCCACACAGATAAAAGTTCAAGAATAGGCAAAACTAACAACAGTGACTGAAATGGGAACAGTGGTTACCCCTGAGGTAAAAGGATTGACTGCAAACGGGCACAGGGAAATTTCCGGGGGATGGAATGTTCTGTATCTTGATCTGGGTGATGGATACATGGGTGTGTACACGTGTCAA